TTGAGGAATCGTAAAATGAGAAGAGTGAATCTAGAAGAGTGAATCTAGAGAAGAGTGAATCTAGAGTGAATCTTCACAAACAGTTCGTATTCAATTTATTCGTTAAGCAAATGAGTCGAACACGAACAGCTCTGTGTTCGATCGTGTTCGAATCATTATTGTTTGACTTAAAAAATAATTTTAAAAAATTATATAAAAAAATTATAACTTGGGAGTAAAAATAAATTCAAATTTTCTAATTTAGGAAAAAATAAAACTACTTTTATAATTTTATATATCCTATATTAATATAAATAATTATATATAAGAAATTTTAATACTAAATTAGTAACTAATATATTTATAATTTTAAATATCTTATATTAATATTAATTATATAATATACTAATATATATATTATATACCTAAGCTTTACATAACCCAAAACCCTAAAGTTCTATTCTCTTCGCATTCGCCCTCGCCGGTTGTGCTTCTTGTGAGAAACTTCTAGCGAAAGCTCTTGGTCTCAGATTAGGGCTTTTGTTCATCGACGACGGCGTCGATTTCATTCGTCTCTTTCGCCTCCTCACAGGAAAAGGAGTAACCGTCTCTAACTATCACTTGTTTGTGGATTCTGAGTCGTGACTCGTGATTCACCTTTGTAAAATCTGAATTTATTTACTTTTTTTTTTAGGTTTTCTAATCAGCCTCTCTCTTGTCTCTCATTTTTATTATTTGAGAAGATATTATCCCCATCTAAGGCTAGAATGCGAGTATGAATTATTTATTCTCTGATTACTTGTTAAGAATTCGTACATTGATATACCAGCGACAGGAATTCATGTTATTTGGGTTTATGGTGATGCAGTGATGTTATATTTTTTTAGTATCTGTTTAGATTGGTTCTTTACAAAGTATGCCTTTTTATAGGTTAAAATGCTCCAATAGCTATTTCATTTTCAATTTCTCATTCCAGTGGCTAGTATCTACACTCTACAGTGACTTTGTTGCTGACTTGTAGTCTTTAAACTGTTGCTATAGGTTATATCCTCCAGGAATTACCGTAAAAGCCCTTTTTTCTTTACATATATACTACAGTGACTTTGTTGCTGACTTGTAGTCTTTAAAGTTTTGCTATAGGTTATATCCTCCAGGAATTACGGTAAAAGCCCTTTTCTTGCTCATTTCTTTTATTTATTTACGTATCGAACACTTAGAATTTATTTTTTACATGTAAGCACGCTTATCTATACATGAAAAGTTGTATTTCAATTTTTTTATAATTAAAATAATGGTACTTCGATGTGATAAGTAAGATTTGGACGGTATAAATGTAAAAGCAAAGTTAAGGAGTTGGCTATGTAAATATATTAGAATTGGGTGGTATGTATGTAATGGTCCCTTTATGTTAATGTTGCTTTTGTGATCTACTAATGTTAAATTTGTTCAATTTTTATTCTAGAAACATTATAACGGTTGAAGATCATACTAAAAATTAAGTCGACTAATATTTTCAGTATAATTTTGCCACTTTGATCAATATTGTTGTAATTGTTAACATGCATTAGTTTGTGTATCAAGTTGGATTCGATCCATTAGAACAGTTAATGCATTAGTTTGTGCATCAAGTTAGATTTGTTCCACTCAAAAAAAATGCAAAGACATGTTTGATAATCATTTCATAAAATATATATTTTTTTCTTTAGGTTCTTCTCTTTCTTCTTACTAGTAAAATATCAATATTTATTTCCATGAATTATTTTCAACAAGAGATACTTGAAGAATAAAATATTCAACTGTCAGACATATGAAGCCAACTCTACACAAGACCTTTGATAGCTATGAATTTATATGATTATTACAAGTTTTAAATTTGGACAATATTTTTTTGATTTATGCAGTTATATTGTTTGTGGCGCTAACTTGTTATTGCTTTGATATTATGTTGTATTTTGTGTATACTTTAACATATTTATTTATGCAGTGCAGTTTTGTAGCTCTTCTATAACTAGTATGACATCATCTTGTGCAATCATATGGAAGATTATGATTATTAAAGAGGTTGTGATGATATATAAGATGAACATCTATGCTAAAGTTAGTATGGCTTAATTACATGATGCAACCCTTTATAATACTTTGATGCATTTAAAGTTGGTATGGCATAATAAAGTTAAGCAATCCTTAAGTCCCCATTAGAAGAATGCTAAAACTTCTAAATTGGGTATGACAATTCCATTGAGCAACCATTTAGATTAATGTTGACAAATCTTATGATGGATGACATAATCACATTATGCAACCATTTAAATTGTAGCTAAAATTAAGATTTAATCTTAAATATGAGCCTCAATCTTATGATAATTCATATGTGGTTGATTTTTTTTCATGGAGAGCTTTATTGTTTAATCTCATTTGATGAAATTGTTAAATAATTTTTCATCTCATTAAGTTAAAATTTGTGTTATCATATCTTTGTTTATTTTAAATTTCATACGACAGAAATCTTTGTATGAAAATTTTATTTTTGCTTTCAATTGCTAGTGAATATTTGGATCATCTATTGAGAAGCCCTTACTTTATATGTGGGTGATTCGGAAAGCATGTACTCTATTGAATGTTCTCTTGTTCTATCCTAAGGTTCTTATCCTTCAGGAATCTAATGATGGATGACATGATCACAAAATACAAACTTTTAGATTGTAGTTGCTCTTTCTATTTCAATTTTGGACCTTCGGTGCTATTTTAATCACATTAGCAACCGATCAGGTCTAAGACCATTTCAGATCAGTTGTTAAGGGCCTATAAAATAATATTTCTCCTCTCTCAATGAACTGGGAGACTTTTAGAGGTCAGACGCATCTATCTGTCATGGTATGAGGTAAACAATCTCCACCTAGATTACTCTTGTGAACAGTTTTGTTTGGTTCTTCGAGGAATAGCAAACACTTGATTCTTATTTCTTCGATTTATTACTTGATTTCTACTGATATTCTTTTGATCGTCATAATTATTACTAATTTTCTTTTCTAATTCGAGATTGCTAGGTTGGATTTGTGTTTCGCTGTTGTTGTTTGCCCTAAGTCGTCTCGTATTCTATAATTGTTTGTTGAGATGTGCTATTCTTTTTAAGAAAAATAAACCCTAACTTG